TTTTGTTACCCTGTAAAGTAATCTTCCATCCTGATTTTACAGAGGTGATTCTTTTACCTTTTTTTTTTTAAATAAACTTCTTTTAAGAACCTGCTTGTTTTTCAGTGTCCTAAAGACCCAGGGGGGTCGATCTGTGCTCACTTTGTAACCAATTGGTCAGGATATTATTCTCAAGCCTCCCCAGGAAAGGGGGTGTAGGGGCTTGGGGGATATTTTGGGGGAGGCAGGGCTCCAAGTGGCCCTCCTTGAATGTTTGTTTAAATCACTTGGTGTTGGCAGCGATACCAAGGGCAAGGAAGGAATTTGTGCCTTGGGGAAGTTTTAAACCTAAGCTGGTAGAAATAAGCTTAGGGGGTTTTCATGTGGGTCCCCACATCTGTACCCCAGAGTTCAAAGTGAGGTGGGAACCCTTGTCAGGGTACAGATGTGGGGACCCACATGATGTGTGGACCCATATGAAAACCTCCCTAAGATTATTTCTACCAGCTTAGGTAGCGGCGTCCGGAGTTCCGGACCCTTTAAATTAACATGGGATCCCCGGGCGGCGCAGGCCAAGGGCTGGCTGGGGGATGCTGACTCCCAGCCCTGCCCCTTCTGGGGGCCAGAACCACCCCCCGCCCCATACCGGTAAGTGTCCTCAGTTATTTTCACCCCTGGACAGGTGGATAGGACAGGGGTATTTGATAACTATCTATCCCAGCACGATGTGGACCTTAGCTAAATTTGGGCTTTCAAAACATGGTCAATGAAAGCAGTGAGTCTCTGTGGACAATGTGGCTTCTTATGGTCTTAGTCCATGACTCAGCCTTTCCCGAATGGAGGTCAGAAAAGGAAATTATGAATTTGTTACAGAAATCAGAGGTGGAAATGACTGATTAGATACCTGGTCTGCTCCCACTATCCCCACCAATGATGCAGTCATACTGGCCCCAGCTCATTAGTGGGCTCGCACAAGAGGGGAGGCTGGCTATTCTGCTGGAAGCTCACTGTGTTTCCAAGACTGTCACATCGGTATGCAACACAAGCTAGGCACAGAACATCCAAATGCTGGTATTGCTCAGGATGCTCTACCAGGCCTGCCCTAGTTCCCTTCTGAACCGGGTTTTGAAATTGGGGTTCTGGGAAGGAATTTGGTTTCATACTAAAGGAAAGCCATTCCTTGGGCTCCTTGGCCATCATTCAGGGTAATTGTGAGGAGTCTCAGTCAGTGCCAGGTCTGTCTTGTACAGCAATGGCCTGCTTGCAAAGGTGATGAGGACCAGTAGCTCCCATTGGTTTCCAGGGGATTTGTGGGTACTCAGCAACTCTGAAAATCAGGCTACAAGTGCTTACTGATTACAGGCATAACAAGTGCTAGCCAGATATAAGTCATGGGCTTCTCACTGTGTCTGATGGAAGAGGAATCTTCACACCCACACCTACCTCTAGCAGAATTGTAGGGCTAGGAGTGTTGGATGTAGCCTTAGATGGATCGTTGGAAGAATGAAATTAACACACGATGCAGTGGCACAGAATCTTTGGTCCAGTCAAGCTATGCTTGCTGCAGCTCCGAGGCAGGCAGGAACTTGGGAATTAGCTCTGTGAAGGGGCAGATTTCAGGGAAAATGCTCTGTCAGAGCTGAGAATCTCACCTAGTAGGAATGAGAGAGAAGCCCTTCAGAACTCTGGGAAATTCTGATTGTGATCCAGATGCAAGTCTGAATCTTGTGGCTCAGGCCTGTCTCCATAAGTTGAATCCTAGCCTCTTTGAACAATGAAAAAGTTCAGCTCTAGATCCAAATTCCCAGCTCAGGCCCATTACAAATATGGACATGAAGAAGTAGCAGCTTTATTCTATATATCCAGTTGAGCTAGAGGTCCACCAAACACAGTGCCACCCAAACACTGCCAGAATGCTTTATCCCATCTTTGTACCAGACCTCGGCCCTGGCTCTTGTGTGACCTCATCTCTAGTTCAGCACATGATCAGAGAGTCACTGCTTCCGTGGCAGTCAGTCTGAGAATGCCTTTCCAACAAAAGGAAAGAAATCAACATTTGGAAAAAGGGTGCAATTATTCACACTGTACACATGGTGGCGAACAGAAGAGTCTGTGTGGCAGTCCCATTAGCACTGGGGTATCTGGCCACTTTACTGAGGGGCCTCCAAGGAAGGCAGAGGAGGGAGGTTTGCCACGAAATCTCAGCATCAAATATTTAACCAGAGGGAATGGGATTCCCCTTCCCAGAGCAGACTGAAAGCAGGAGGCAGTGGGCTGGGGTTGGTGTGAGACTGTGGCATGATCTCCCCCAGGCACTAAAGACCATAACAAACCTCTCCAAATTCCATTCCAGTCAAGAGGCACTTCTCCGGCCTGCCTCCTCAAAGATAAACACAGAGCAGTGTGGACATTTAAAACACAACCCTGCCACCACCTAGCCCTCTGCTACACACACAAGTCTCCCTAAAGAGAGAATGAACCACATGTGATGGGGTGAGTCACGTTAATTAATGCAGGACTGCAAGGTGCTCAGGTGAACCATAGAATCATAGAATATCAGGGTTGGAAGGGACCTCAGGAAGTCATCTAGTCCAACCCCCTGCTCAAAGCAGGACCAATCCCCAACTAAATCATCCCAGCCAGGGCTTTGTCAAGCTTGACCTTAAAAACCTCTAAGGAAGGAGATTCCACCACCTCCCTCAGTAACCCATTACAGTGCTTCACCACCCTCCTAGTGAAATAGTGTTTCCTAATATCCAACCTAAACCTCCCCCACTGCAACTTGAGACCATTACTCCTTGTTCTGTCAGCTGGTACCACTGAGAACAGTCTAGATCCATCCTCTTTGGAACCCACTTTTCAGGAAGTTGAAACCAACTATCAAATCCCCCCTCATTCTTCTCTTCTGAAGACTAAAAAATCCCAGTTCCCTCAGCCTCTCCTCATAAGTCATGTGCTCCAGCCCCTAATCATTTTTGTTGCCCTCCACCGGACTCTTTCCAATTTTTCCACATCCTTCTTGTAGTGTGGGGCCCAAAACTGGACACAGTACTCCAGATGAGGCCTCACCAATGTCGAATAGAGGGGAATGTTCACATCCCTCAATCTGCTGGCAATGCCCCTATTTATACAGCCCAAAATACCGTTAGCCTTCTTGGCAACAAAGGCACACTGTTGACTCATATCCAGCTTCTCGTCCACTGTAACCCCTAGGTCCTTTCCTGCAGAACTGCTGCCTAGCCATTTGGTCCCTAGTCTGTAGCAGTGTATGGGAGTCTTCCGTCCTAAGTGCAGGACTCTGCACTTGTCCTTGTTGAACGTCATCAGATTTCTTTTGGCCCAATCCTCTAATTTTTCTAGGTCCCTCTGTATCCTATCCCTACCCTCTAGCTTATCTACCACTCGTCCCAGTTTAGTGTCATCTGCAAACTTGCTGAAGGTGCAGTCCACGCCATACTCCAGATCATTAATAAAGATATTGAACAAAACCAGCCCCAGGACCAACCCTTGGGTCACTCCGCTTGATACCGGCTGCCAACTAGACATGGAGCCATTAATCACTACCCGTTGAGCCCAACGATCTAGCCAGCTTTCTATCCACCTTATAGTCCATTCATCCAGCCCATACTTCTTTAACTTGCTGGCAAGAATACTGTTGGTTCCTTTAGCACTTGCACCAGGAAATTGTCCCCTACACTTTCCAAAAACTTCCTGGATTGTCTGTGCACTGCTGTATTGCTCTCCCAGCAGATATCAAGGTGATTGAAGTCTCCCATGAGAACCAGGGCCTGTGATCTAGTAACTTATGTTAGTTGCTTCCAGCCTCGTCCACCTAATCCCCCTGGTCTGGTGGTCTATAGCAGACTCCCACCACAACATCACCCTTGTTGCTCACACTTCTAAACTTAATCCAAAGACTCTCTGGTTTTTCTGCAGTTTCGTACCAGAGCTCGGAGCAGTCATACTCCTATCTTACATACAATGCAATTCCCCCACTTTTTCTGCCCTGCCTGTCCTTCCTGAACAGTTTATATCCATCCATGACAGTACTCCAGTCATGTGAATTATCCCACCAGGTCTCTGTTATTCCAATCACATCATAATTCCTTGACTGTGCCAGGACTTCCAGTTCTCCCTGCTTATTTCCCAGGCTTCTTGCCTTGTGTATAGGCACTAACTCATAGATTGTCCCGCTTTCTCAGTATGAGACAGGAGTCCTCCCCTCTTGTGATCTCCTGCTCGTGCTTCCTCCTGGTATCCCACTTCCCCACTTACCTCAGGGCTTTGGTCTCCTTCCCCTGGTGAACCTAGTTTAAAGCCCTCCTCACTAGGTTAGCCAGCCTGCTTGCGAAAATGCTCTTCCCTCTCTTCGTTAGGTGGAGCCCGTCTCTGCCTAGCACTCCTCTTTCTTGGAACACCATCCCATGGTCAAAGAATCCAAAGCCTTCTCTCCAACAGCACCTGCGTAGCCATTTGCTGACTTCCATGATTCGATGGTCTCTACCCGGGCCTTTTCCTTCCACAGGGAGGATGGACGAGAATACCACTTGCGCCTCAAACTCCTTTATTCTTCTTCTCAGAGCCACATAGTCTGCAGTGATCGACTCAAAGTCATTCTTGGCATTATCATTGGTGCCCACCTGGAGAAGCAGGAAGGGGTAGCAATCCAAGGGCTTGATGGGTCTTGGCAGTCTCTCTGTCACATCATGAATCCTAGCTCCTGGCAAGCAGCACACGTCTCGGTTTTCCCGGTCGGGATGGCAGATAGATGACTCAGTCCCCCTGAGGAGGGAGTCCCCGACTACCACCACCTGCCTCCTTCTCTTGGGAGCGGTTGTCATGGAACCCCCTTCCCTAGGACAGTGCATCTCATGCCTTCCAATCGGTGGAG